TATATATATATATATATATATATATATATTATATATTATATAATCCTAATTTCTAAAATATTTATAAGTTAATTATGCTCGTTAACAGCAAAGAACGAAAAACAATTTTGTGTTTGTTCTTGAGAAATCGGTTTTTCATCTTAACTTTGATCTTTATGGTCTCTTCCATATGAAATTATTCCCTTAGTTACAACGATAACGCTTTGGCTTTCTTGGCCAATCCCCTTCAGTAAACTGTGGTTCCCTTGGGTCCCTTCAGTAAACTGTGGTTCCCTTGGGTCCCTTCAGTAAACTGTGGTTCCCTTGGGTCCCTTCAGTAAACTGTGGTTCCCTTGGGTCCCTTCAGTAAACTGTGGTTCCCTTGGGCCCCTCTCAGTAAACTGTGGTTCCCTTGGGTCCCTTCAGTAAACTGTGGTTCCCTTGGTCCCTTCAGTAAACTGTGGTTCCCTTGGTCCCTTCAGTAAACTGTGGTTCCCTTGGGCCCCTCTCAGTAAACTGTGGTTCCCCTGGCCCCTCTCAGTAAACTGTGGTTCCATTGGGCCCCTCTCAGTAAACTGTGGTTCCCCTGGCCCCTCTCAGTAAACTGTGGTTCCCTTGGGCCCCTCTCAGTAAACTGTGGTTCCCTTGGGCCCCTCTCAGTAAACTGTGGTTCCCCTGGCCCCTCTCAGTAAACTGTGGTTCCCTTGGGCCCCTCTCAGTAAACTGTGGTTCCCCTGGCCCCTCTCAGTAAACTGTGGTTCCCGTGGCCCCTCTCAGTAAACTGTGGTTCCCCTGGCCCCTCTCAGTAAACTGTGGTTCCCTTGGGCCCCTCTCAGTAAACTGTGGTTCCCCTGGGCCCCTCTCAGTAAACTGTGGTTCCCCTGGGCCCCTCTCAGTAAACTGTGGTTCCCGTGGCCCCTCTCAGTAAACTGTGGTTCCCCTGGCCCCTCTCAGTAAACTGTGGTTCCCCTGGCCCCTCTCAGTAAACTGTGGTTTCCCTGGCCCCTCTCAGTAAACTGTGGTTCCCTGGCCCCTCTCAGTAAACTGAGGTTCCCGTGGTCCCTTCAGTAAACTGTGGTTCCCCTGGCCCCTCTCAGTAAACTGTGGTTCCCGTGGCCCCTCTCAGTAAACTGTGGTTCCCCTGGCCCCTCTCAGTAAACTGTGGTTCCCCTGGCCCCTCTCAGTAAACTGTGGTTCCCCTGGCCCCTCTCAGTAAACTGTGGTTCCCCTGGCCCCTCTCAGTAAACTGTGGTTCCCTTGGCCCCCTCAGTAAACTGTGGTTCCCCTGGCCCCTCTCAGTAAACTGTGGTTCCCCTGGCCCCTCTCAGTAAACTGTGGTTCCCCTGGCCCATCTCAGTAAACTATGGTTCCCTTGGGCCCCTCTCAGTAAACTGTGGTTCCCTTGGGTCCCTTCAGTAAACTGTGGTTCCCGTGGGCCCCCTTGGAGAAAGGGGCGGGTACTCTAAGTTTAAAGACAGGCTTCCTGTCCCCGACGACCTAAGATACCAACCACCTGGACTGGACGACCTGGCATCTTGCAGGTCGGCGTTCGATCCCCGATGGTCCAAGTAGTTAGGTACCGTTCCATCTCTCCAATCTCATATCCCAGCTCCTCATCCTTATATCCCTTCTAAGTGCTCTATAGTCATACTGGCTTAGTGGTTTCTCCTCATAATTACCTTAAACTCATACTTTTAATACTCAGTGATTCGAGTATCGTTAAATATTAATTTGTGTTCATCATTCTATAGGAATTCCTGGAAACACAAACCGAAACTGTCTATTTTCCGCTTGTTACAACTTGTAATAAAGTTGTTACATCTTGGCTTAACGTGTGTATGACGTATTAGAACGTTGTTACAACCTGCTATATTGGTTGTTATAACTGGTTAGGTGTTAAAACTTGTTCGAACGTTGTACCAACGTCGTAGTTTCGGTGTGTGTTTGGCGGGTTGATAGAGAAGCCGCTGACCAAACAGAAAGCACCTTGATCTATCTTATACTAATCTGTTTTCCATACATTAGGCATTCCTTGTTACATTCAGCTGCTAAACATGTTAAGGGGATCTAGGGGTTTAATTGTCAACCCAAATCAGCAACGCCGTTCAGGCGCTACGGCTACAATAGCGCAATAGACATATTGAACTGAGATGATGTGTAGGACATATTGAACTGGAATCCCGCCGTGTAGGATATTACAGATTGAAATGCTGCACAAGACACGTTATACTAAGATGCTGAACAAGTCACACTATACTAAGATGCTGAACAAGTCACGCTATACTAAGATGCTGAACAAGACACGCTATACTAAGATGCTGAACAAGTCACGCTATACTAAGATGCTGAACAAGACACGCTATACTAAGATGCTGAACAAGTCACGCTATACTAAGATGCTGAACAAGTCACGCTATACTAAGATGCTGAACAAGACACGCTATACTAAGATGCTGAACAAGACACGCTATACTAAGATGCTGAACAAGTCACGCTATACTAAGATGCTGAACAAGTCACGCTATACTAAGATGCTGAACAAGTCACGCTATACTAAGATGCTGAACAAGTCACGCTATACTAAGATGCTGAACAAGACACGCTATACTAAGATGCTGAACAAGACACGCTATACTAAGATGCTGAACAAGTCACGCTATACTAAGATGCTGAACAAGTCACGCTATACTAAGATGCTGAACAAGTCACGCTATACTAAGATGCTGAACAAGTCACGCTATACTAAGATGCTGAACAAGTCACGCTATACTAAGATGCTGAACAAGTCACGCTATCCTAAGATGCTGAACAAGTCACGCTATACTAAGATGCTGAACAAGTCACGCTATACTAAGATGCTGAACAAGTCACGCTATACTAAGATGCTGAACAAGTCACGCTATACTAAGATGCTGAACAAGTCACGCTATACTAAGATGCTGAACAAGTCACGCTATAGTAAGATGCTGAACAAGTCACGCTATAGTAAGATGCTGAACAAGTCACGCTATACTAAGATGCTGAACAAGTCACGCTATACTAAGATGCTGAACAAGTCACGCTATAGTAAGATGCTGAACAAGTCACGCTATAGTAAGATGCTGAACAAGTCACGCTATAGTAAGATGCTGAACAAGTCACGCTATACTAAGATGCTGAACAAGTCACGCTATACTAAGATGCTGAACAAGACACGCTATACTAAGATGCTGAACAAGACACACTATACTAAGATGCTGAACAAGTCACGCTATACTAAGATGCTGAACAAGTCACGCTATACTAAAATGCTGAACAAGTCACGCTATACTAAGATGCTGAACATGATATATTCCACAACAAGATTCAGTGCCAGATATTGCAAAGTAAAAAGTTGCACAAGCCATATTGCAAAGTCAAATGGTCCACAAGATTGCACACACACACCATAAAGTATATTAGAGAAAGCAGCACGTGCTGGTAAGAGATAAGAAAGTGTGTTCAAGCACATTACTGTTGCAACAGACAAGAGATAATGATACTGCAAGCACACCAGCAACAGGTTGAACGCAAGCAACATTTACATAAATGAAGACATATGGCGAGTTTCTGGGTGAATGTGGCCCAAGCTCTCCTTAGAGTAAAGGGGAGAGATGTGTTCCCTAATGGCTCAGCCCGTTCTCGCAAATTCGTAAAGTCAATATTGACTTATTAACTACGTGCATAGGTGATATACTAAACATAATAGATACCCTTAAAAAGATTCATAGAAAACACCGACCTTACCTAACCTTGTTAGTATCTTAAGATAAGCATCTTATTGCTTCGTAATTACAATTATTACTTAACCTATACCTATTATAGGTTAGGTAATAATTGTAATTACGAAGCAATAAGATGCTTATCTTAACATACTAAGTAGGTTAGGCAAGGTCGGTGTTTTCTATGAAGCGTTTCAAGGGAAACTATTATGTTAAGTATGTCACCTATGCACATATTTAATAAGTCAATATTGACTTATTAAATTTGCGAGAACGGGTTGCGTGGCTCTATAGTCTGTGCACGTGTTCAACACGTGACTAGTATACACGTGTTCAACACGTGACTCTAGTATACACGTGACTGCACCATACTGCATTACTCTCCTCACCAGAAAACACAATAATAATTGCAAAGCTTTTTTTCAATTTCCGGCATCAGTCCTGGGGGACATATTGCGTCTTCCTGTGTGAAGACAGGATCTAGGATCTGTTCCTACACGAATTTACATATAGAACATTGTGGTTCAAAATTGTTGCACCCGGGGAACAGGGTGTGATGGCCTAGCAGTGCCTGGCTTGTACACCTGGGGCTCGGCTGTACATTTCGTCTGACGTATCATCGCTCGCATGATCTGATGAATTCCTCTAGATGAGCCTTGCCACCCCCCCCCCCCCTAGCGTCGCATTTTCAATTTCCGGTCAATTAACGAAATGGCGCTCATAATCAATGTTTCTCGCTGGGTTTCCAGGCCTGAACTTCATAAGCGAGGGTTGGTCTTATGTAGGTTATATTTAGTGCTCTGAAGGATACGTTATCTGAGCTTCTGAATTCTTCTCAAGCATTTGAGAAATGTCATGTGTCCCTCACGTATCACATTTGGGGCTGTGTATCCTCCCAAGACAAGATGATACAGGAATCTGTATCTCTGTAGCCTGTACTCACCTAGTTGTGCTTGCGGGGGGTTGAGCTTTAGCTCTTCGGTCCCGGAATAGCCTTCGTATGTACTCGCGTAGATCTACTCACCTAGCAGTACTTGGTTCCTGTTAACTGGGTACCTACCTTGAGGTGCTTCCGGGGCTTAGCGTCCCCGCGGCCCGGTCGTCGACCAGGCCTCCTGGTTGCCGGACTGATCAACCAGGCTGTTGGACGCGGCTGCTCGCAGCCTGACGTATGAGTCACAGCCTGGTTGATCAGGTATCCTTTGGAGGCTAATGCAAAGGGTCTTCATATAGCTTCTTCTTCGTCTTTTTTATTATTGATGCTAAGTGTTGAGTTTACCTCTAGCGGTCTCTAGTGGCATTCTCTAGCCTCTTGCTACTGTTAAGGTGACGAAGTATATTTTGAATCTCCCTTTGTCTCATCTGAGGCCCTTGTAGCATACCCCTTGCAGCATACCCCTGCAGTATACCTCTTGCAGCATACCCCTTGGAACATCCACTCTTGCAGCATATCCCTTGCAGCATATCCCTTGCAGCATACCCCTTGCAGCATATCCCTTGCAGCATACCCCTTGCAGCATATCCCTTGCAGCATATCCCTTGCAACATATCCCTTGCAGCATATCCCTTGCAGCATATCCCTTGCAGCATACCCCTTGCAGCATATCCCTTGCAGCATACCCCTTGCAGCATATCCCTTGCAGCATATCCCTTGCAGCATATCCCTTGCAGCATACCCCTTGCAGCATACCCCTTGCAGCATATCCCTTGCAGCATATCCCTTACAGCATACCCCTTGCAGCATACCCCTTGCAGCATATCCCTTGCAGCATACCCCTTGCAGCATACCCCTTGCAGCATACCCCTTGCAGCATCCACCCTTGCAGCATCCACCCTTGCAGCATCCACCCTTGCAGCATATCCCTTGCAGCATACCCCCTGCAGCATATCCCCTGCAGCATATCCCTTGTAGCATACCCCTTGCAACATACCCCTTGCAGCATATCCCTTGCAGCATACCCCTTCCAGCATATCCCTTGTAGCATATCCCTTGCAACATCCACCATTGCAGCATACCCCTTGCAGCATACCCCTTGCAGCATACCCCTTGCAGCAAATCCCTTGCAGCATATCCCTTGTAGCATATCCCTTGCAGCATATCCCTTGCAGCATATCCCTTGCAGCACCCCTTCCAGCATATCCCTTGTAGCATATCCCTTGCAGCATCCACCTTTCACCCCAGGTTCTCCCGCATCTCTGTAGCAACATTGCATCTCTCCGTCAATCTGCCGCTAGATCTTGTATATTCTGATTACATCTCTCCTGATTTACCTGTCCTCAAACTTACGGGCTATTCATGCCCGTGCCACCTCTTGGGTGGCTTAATCTTCATCAATCTTTCCTCAAACGTTGCATGTTAGAAGGGAGGGGGAACTATGACGAGAAAACGCCAAGACGTTACGACTATATAACTCTTGGAAGAGTTTGGAAGAAGAGTTTCGTTTAACTCTTGGATGAGGATCTGGGATGGGACGAGGGGGGGGGGGGTTATCTTGAGGTTATCTTGAGATGATTTCGGGGCTTTAGTGTCCCCGCGGCCCGGTCCTCGACCAGACCTCCACCCCCAGGAAGCAGCCCGTGACAGCTGACTAACTCCCAGGTACCTATTTACTGCTATGTAACAGCGGCATTCAGGGTGAAAGAAACTTTGCCCATTTGTTTCTGCCTCGTGCGGGAATCGAACCCGCGCCACAGAATTACGATTCCTGCGCGCTATCCACCAGGCTACGAGGCCCACAAGGTGCTTGTGGAGGTTGAGCTATGGCTCTTTGGTCCCGCCTCTCAACTGTCAATCAACTGTAACTACAATTTTTTTCCCTCACACACACACACACAGGAAGAAGCCCGTAACAGCTGACTAACTCCCAGGTACCTATTTAATGGCCTACTTTAGGTACCTACTTCAGCCACGCTATTGTGACTCCTCACCTGCAATAGAGAATGTATTGCAATGGTAGGCAATCCTCACGTTGTGAAGAATGAAGCCAAAAATTGAAGATGCATAAAGGTTTGCAAGATGATTCGTGCCACAACTAATTATTATAATTATAATTATTTTGTATTTTCTACCACAGACGTGGCCAGACATTTACAATGCTAACCACCATATATACATTTTATTCTGTCCTCCATGGACAGGGTGAGAGATCTGTTAGACATATAGTTCAGGGATTTAATGAACAATCAACCACAGAAGGTGATTGCAGTGCTTTTAAAATGCTAATCTCACCTACACACATAAATACCCAGATTTACGTCAGTCCTACATAAACAGTGTTCGAGGTATCTTTTACATAGTGTCATTAATGTGCGTTTACAAAGGTGAAATACAATTCTGACCAACTTACACATATCCTGCATACACATACATACATACACATAGATAGCTAGGTACCCGGGTACCCCTAGGTAACAGGAGCATCAGGGTGAAAGAAGCTTTGTCCATTTGTTTCTGCCTGGTGCGGGAATCGAACCCAGGCATCAACATCAAACCAGAAGCCATACCAAACCAGGAACTTCATAATGGGTCCAATAGCTAAGAGTCACCGGTAATGGGTCCAAGAGCTGGAGTCCAAGAGCTAATAATGGGTCCAAGAGCTGGAGTCACTAATAATGGGTCCAAGAGCTGGAGTCACTAATAATGGGTCCAAGAGCTGGAGTCACTAATAATGGGTCCAAGAGCTGGAGTCACTAATAATGGGTCCAAGAGCTGGAGTCACTAATAATGGGTCCAAGAGCTGGAGTCACTAATAATGGGTCCAAGAACTGGAGTCACTAATAATGGGTCCAAGAACTGGAGTCACTAATAATGGGTCCAAGAACTGGAGTCACTAATAATGGGTCCAAGAGCTGGAGTCACTAATAATGGGTCCAAGAGCTGGAGTCACTAATAATGGGTCCAAGAGCTGGAGTCACTAATAATGGGTCCAAGAACTAGAGTCACCATTACCGTGTTCTGGAGACAGTTAGCGACAATGTCCAGTCATAATTCATTAAGTACCCCCCTCAATACAACACAAGCCTCCCATTTCCCATTTTCTATAACGAATATAAAACAAAGGCTCCATTTGTCCATCAATTTTGAGACAGAAATGAAATATCTGTTATAGGTTTGTCTCTCTCCAAGTTTAAGAGGTAACCCTAAAAAAAATCGGAGCCGGGATCCATCAAGTTATTGCACGTACCCTGACGAAACCTGTACATCTTTTCGCGATCATGGCCATTCGGTCTGTATTTACTAAAAAGTTTACGAGTTGGAAAAAACTACGAGGTGGTTTACGACCCAGGATTATAAACAGCCTCGTAGTGCCTCACAGCTCGTAAACTGCTTAGTGAATACAAAGCCACCATTACCGAGGAAAGATGTACAGGTTTCGTGAGTGGACACGTAAATGCGTGATGAGTCTTGACCCACTAAGTGTTACTCATCACTCACAGAGATCACACTAACGTGATGCATCAAATGAACAAATCCACAAGGGCCGTGACGAGGATTCGAACCTGCGTCCGGGAGCATCCAGACACAGTAGCTCAGTCGATTAAGGCAGTGTCTGGGATGCTCTCTGACGCAGGTTCGAATCCTCGTCACGGCCCTTGTGGATTTGTTCATTGTTACTCATATCAGGATTACTTAGGCAGTGGATAAGTGACTTCAGTAAGATTACGTCCAATGTGTTTAACAACTTTTCCCTCCGTTATTGATAAGTGTTACTCATATCAGGCTTACTTAGACAGTGGATAAGTGACTTCAGTAAGATTACGTCCAATGTGTTTAACAACTTTTCCCTCCGTTATTGATAAGTGTTACTCATATCAGGCTTACTTAGGCAGTGGATAAGTGACTTCAGTAAGATTACGTCTAATGTGTTTAACAACTTTTCCCTCCATGTTCTCCGCGTCCTCAGAAAGCGACTTCCTCAGCTGCCCCAACCGTTAAGAAGAGGGTTCCCCTGTTGGCATGATTGTTAATACTGTGCTAACAGCCTAGCCTTAATTAAGATGAACCACCCTCAGGGGACCAATGGCAGCAAAACTTTAATTACGAGAAGCCCATACGAGTGGAATTTAATGAAAATTGATTAGCATGCGTCTAATCTGCAGATTATCACCATTATTCAAATCTCTATTGTAAGTATTGATTAGCATGCGTCTAATCTGCAGACTGCAAACAGTCTCCGTGGTGTAGTGGTAAGAGACTCGCCTGGCGTTCCGCGAGCGCTATGTCATGGGTTCGTATCCTGGCCGGGGAGGATTTACTGAGCGCAATTCCTTAACTGTAGCCTCTGTTTAACTCAGTAAAATGTGTACTTGGTTGTAACAACGATTCTTCGCGGCAGGGGATCGTATTCCAGGGACCATAGGATTAAGGACTTTCCCGAAACGCTACGCGTACTAGTGGCTCTACAACCATGTAACAACTCTTCTATATATCACAAAAAAACAAAAAAAAAAAAAAAAATTATCACCATTATTCAAATCTCTATTGTAAGGAACATTTTCTGGATAATGAAATAAACTTTTCTCACTTTCGAGTTTTTTTTCACTTAATTTGGGGTTATCAGAGTAAAAAAAAAATGTTAGTTAATGACTCTACTATTGACCAGACCACACACTAGAAATTGAAGGGACGACGACGTTTCGGTCCGTCCTGGGCCATTCTCAAGTCGATTGTGATGAGGACAGGTAGGGACAGGCATTAAATAGGCAAGAGAGAGCTGAGGAGGAAAGTCAGGTGTAGGGGATAGTAGTAATGAGAACTGCAGCAGGCCTATTGGCCCATACGAGGCAGCTCCTATTATAACCACCGAAGGAGATGGTAATAGGAATAAGAAGAGGATAGCAAGGGAGCGTAGAAGACAATGAACAGAAAAAGAGAGAAGAGAGAAAGAAAAGGAAAGAGAAAGAAAGAAATGGAAGGGGGAAAGCTTATGTTAAGTCACGTTTGTTAGAAAGATTAGAGCATTTGAGTATATACTGTGAAAGGGAAGAGTCCACAGCAACAAAGCCAGGACTCAAGTTCATGTTGGGTACATTGTTAATAAGAGCCGATTCTACAAGACGGCGTCTGTGTAGAGTAGAGGCAGGAAAGATTATTTTGGAGGAAGACCAATCAATGGGATGATTAGAATCCCTCACATGGCAGAAGAGAGCATTGTTAGTGTCTGCAGACATAACACTTCTCTTGTGTTCTTTAAGTCTGTCATTCAGTGTACGGCCAGTTTCGTCAAAGTATTGGAGAGGACAAGATGAACAGGAAATAGAGTAGACACCAGCAGCATTAGAAGCAGGAGGAGCAGTGTGAACTAGATTGCTACGAAGTGTGTTAGTTTGTCGAAAGGCGAGTTTAATGTCAAGAGGACGGACCGAAACGTCGTCGTCCCTTCAATTTCTAGTGTGTGGTCTGGTCAACATACTTCAGCCACGTTATTGTGACTCATCGCCTGCACTCTACTATTGACTCTACCATCCCATCTGAAAGCTAGCGAGCCGGTCGGCCGAGCGGACAGCACGCTGGACTTGTGATCCTGTGGTCCTGGGTTCGATCCCAGGCGCCGGCGAGAAACAATGGGCCGAGTTTCTTTCACCCTATGCCCCTGTTACCTAGCAGTAAAATAGGTACCTGGGTGTTAGTCAGCTGTCACGGGCTGCTTCCTGGGGGTGGAGGCCTGGTCGAGGACCGGGCCGCGGGGACACTAAAGCCCCGAAATCATCTCAAGATAACCATTAATGTTCTGATTGGTTTGGTGTTGGGGTTGAGGCCTATTAGCCTCTGGAGCATTATTAAAACCACTACAACAATTTACTCACCATCCACCAAGTATATGTTACATCCCAGCAAACACACAACGTTCTAGCAACGTTATTACGTTACAACGTAATAACGTATACCAACACGACGAAACTACGGCATTGCTACAACGTTCGAGCAAGTTTTAACACCTAAAAAATTGGGATTTTTGGGAATTCCCAAAAATTTTGGGGAGGAATTTGGGAAAAAATTGGGAAAATAAAACTTTCTAATAACGTCATAAAACGTTCTAATAACGTCAAAAAACGTTCTAATAACGTCAAAAAACGTTCTAATAACGTCATAAAACGTTCTAATAACGTCA